CGTTTCGTTTTTTTCTATGTTTAAAAAAAATTGCTGAGAAACAAAAACAAAATAATAATAATAAGACCATAAAATAAGTTAAAATAAACACATTATTTGATTAACAAGTGCTTTAAAAAAGTATTTATAGGCATTGTTGAAAAAAAAATATATATAAAATTAAAAAAAAAAATGCCTAATTATTTCGATGTTTTATAAAATATAATTGAATGGATGCTTTATAAAAGAATATATGCGAACAATGAATGCAATTCAGAATCAGGAAGGAATAGATCAGTAAATGTGACTCAGAATCAGGAATGAATAGATCAGTAAATGTGATTCAGAATCAGGAAGGAATAGATCAGTAAATGTGATTCAGAATCGCAAAGCTAATGAATTTTATTTACACTGATAATTTCATATTCATTTATCAATTCATTTACTTAAGCGACTAAAAAAGAAATTTGTTAAATGTTGATTGATTAATTAATTAATCTGCATAAACAATAAGTGAAATTATCAAATATTGGTTTAACTTCTTGATTTATTTTATCACCAAACTTATATTTCCTTCAATGAGCAATTAATTAGTCAACTTATTTATTTAAATTGAAATTATATTGCAATTTAAGAAAAAAAGAAATATTATTTTGTCGTAAATTGAATTTAATGACAAATTAATGAGTATTGGAATGCAACAACAAATTGACATTTTGTGTATTACAAATTGATGAATCTTCGCACATTAAAAGAAAAAAAGAAAAAGAAATTTTTATCATTAAAATAAAAAAAAAAAAAAGAAATTGCACAATAAATAAAAGCTAATTTTATTTTCTACAAATAATTTTTTTTTTGATTTTCTGATTTTTGAAAGAAATTTTAAAAATATATGTATTTACTATTGTTTGTTTAATATTTCATATGCATTCAGTAAGTAATTTGAAAAAAAAAATCTAATTTAAAGTATATTACAATAATATGTGAAGAAGCTATATTTTTTGCTTCATTTTATTGGAAAGTAAAGTGAATTTAAATGAAAATAAATTCAATTGCATTTTTGCAAAAGATAAAAAATATTATTTTTTCATATTTAAAAAATTGATCAAAAAATGAATAAATTCAAAATAGAATTTTTCAAAATGATTAATGAATTTCAGTAAAATGAAATTAATTTCAAAATTGTTAGAAACATTTAAACAATTCTATTACCAATATATATTTTCATTTCATTTTGCGCATTTTGCTCAATTATAAATTTTTTAATTTATTATTTATTCATGCATTATAGTATAATAAAATGACAGAAAGATTCTTTTTTCTCTTTTTTTATAAAACTACAGTATTTAAATTTTAAAAAGATGAATGAAAATGATATAAATAATTGTATTTTTGAAAGTTATTGACTGACTAAAATAGTAATTAATAAATTCTCATCAAAAAATAAAAGCGAAATTAAATAAGTGGAACATAATCGAAAGAATAACGTATAGCTTTAAAAAATATTAATTAAATAATTAAATGATTAAAATCATATAAACAAATTTTAATTAAAAAAAATATAATAAAAGAAATGAGAATGATTTAAATAGTAATTTTAACAAATTTATTTTAATGTTAAATTTAAAAAAAAAAAAAAGCTTTTTGCTTATTATCTGTTTAATATTCAATTATTAACTCAAAATATATAAAAAAAAATTAATAACAACTGCAAATTAATGACAATTATGTGTGTTACAATCCATTAAATTCATTTAATTTTAAAAATAAACATGGAAAATGCCAAGGACTAAAGGCTGAAAGCTTATAAAATAAATAATTCAAAAGTTTTCCTTTATTTTCTCGTCTAAACTTTGTTAATTGTTAATTCATTAAATTTATATTTGTGTACAAAAAGAAGAAAAGAAATGAAAATGAGAGAAGTTCGAATGAATCTTTTTCTGTTTTTGTGGTTACCATTTTAAGTGGAATGCACAGAAATTCTTTTCTTCTTTCAATGATAAAAAAAAGAAAAAAATGTATCTTAGACAGTGGCGAACGAATCACATTGTGCATGTGGTGTATGTGTATGTATGTATGTGTGTATGTGTGTGTCTATGTATACTTGTGCATGTATATGCATGTATGTGTGTGTACGTCTACTACGTTCATGTATGTATATGTGTATGTATGTATGTGTGTATGTGTGTGTCTATGTATACTTGTGCATGTATATGCATGTATGTGTGTGTACGTCTACTACGTTCATGTATGTATACGTGTATGTATGTATGTGTGTATGTGTGTGTCTATGTATACTTGTGCATGTATATGCATGTATGTGTGTGTATGCCTACTACGTTCATGTATGTGTGGTGTCTGTTTGTGTACATATACGTGGTGCATGTCTATGTATGGGTGTGGTATATGTCTATTTGTACGTGTATGTGATGTATGTCTCTGTTTACGCATGTGTACGTATATGTATGTATGTGATGTATGTGCATGTACGTGGTGTATGTCTGTGTGTGTGTACTTATATGTATGTGATGTATGTTTATGTATGTGGTGTATGTCTATGTGTGTGTACTTATATGTATGTGATGTATGTTTATGTATGTGGTGTATGTCTATGTGTGTGTACTTATATGTATGTGATGTATGTCCATGTATGTGTGTGTACTTTTATGTATGTGATGTATGTCCATGTATGTGTGTGTATTGAGTTGACTGACTGAGAGAGACAATCGCCAGCACTGAGTTATATACACAACAATTCATTCTCTAAGTGATGTCATATGGTTTAGCTGAAGAAATGAGATAATTGTGTTAATTTTAAAATTTTAAAATTTAATTTATCAATTATTCCACCAATAAATAATCACAAAAAAACAAATAAAATCAAAATTAAATATTATTACATTGCTAATGCAAATTACATTCTTTTTTTAAAAAATTATTTTATTAAATTATTATTATTATATAAATGAAATTTTATTAAATTATATATTATTCTACGAAAATTACATATAATTAAATGATGCATATTAATTCATTTTTATTTCAATATAAAAAATTTGAAGTATCATTCAGTATTTCTTTTCTTTTTGAAATATTATCATAATTTATGTGTGATACTATTATAACATTAATTTTAAATTGCTTTTAAATTAATAAGCATCAAAGAGGCGTAAAAAAAAAAGGAATGAAAAATGCTAATTTAGTTATTACTGAAAGAAAATTAGGACAAATATTTTGTTAATATCATCAAATTTTGCTTTTTTTTTTTTAAATTACATATCCAACTGCAAAATGAATTATCTGTGCAACACATTTACATCCATTAATATTGTTTCGTTTATTTTATTTTTTGAAATTATTCAAAATTTTCATTCAGTCATCATCAAATCATTAGTACCATCCTAATGTCTGACACAAACCATTTTTAAATTTACAATTTTTTTCCCTCTGTAATTTTGCCTTTTTGAAATATGTACCTTTGTAATAATGAATCATTTTAATGGAAATCATATCCGGAATTTAGTTAAATATAAAATGCCTGATTTTTTTTTTGGGTAGGAGAGGGGTAAAAAAATTACCCGTCTTTTCTGGAAGAATATAGAAAGAAGAAAAAAAAAGTTTGGAGTATAGTTATAGAGATTATTTTTCCCAAATGAAACGACATTTCATTTGAGCGTGAAGGAAGAAAAAAAAAAGAAACAAATACCCGCTATTGTGAGAAAATTAACCTACCAAAGATACCACTCGATATTTGTAAGTGGGAAAATTACCCATCAAAGATACCCGATATTTGTAAGTGGGAAAATTACCTACCAAAAATACGAGATAAAAATGTCTGTTATTATTTGAGTGTAGAAATAAAAAATAAAAAATAAAAATAAAAAGGTAAAAAATGTTCTCAAAAAAAAAGTGTCCCAATAATCGGAAATAATTGATAATAGAAATGGAAATCGATAAGAACTTAATATCATCCATTCATATTTGTTAAATTATGATTAAAAAGCATTAAAAACAAAATGGTTAATCACATTTCTCGCATTTATTTAATATTCCATTTGTGGAGGAAAAAAAATTTTTTAATTGAAAAATTTAAATAAATTAAAATTATACTTAAATTAGTAATAATTGGAATTAAAAACAAAAATCATTAATTAATTAGAGAAAAAAAAATTTATTGCAAAAAAATCGTAACAAATTCCTATTTTGGTTTTTTTGGTTTTTTTTTTTTTTTTTTGTTAATCAATTTGCCTGTTATTTCTTTTTCTTTTTTGACCTATTTGTTACGATTAAATAAAATTAGCAAAATTTCAAAGTTTTTTTTTTCTTTTCAACAGCTAATAAACAAATAACAAAAAGATAACAAACAATAATATCAACAACAGTAACAATAAATTTTGAAGAAACAATAAATAATAATGCTAATAAACAATAAATAGCAAATGTTTAAAATTAAGCAAACATTTTGTTAAATTTAGTTTTCTAAAAAAAGGAAAAAAAGAATTGTATATATAATAACTGAAATTTTTGCATTTTACTTATTATTAGTTCATAAAATACAAAAATGATGACATTCTCGGCATTGTTATAATTTGATCTTTATTCTCGATATTTTATCATCAATAATTCTCGAGAATACACTAAAAAATGTTGACATTTTGGTATTTCTTATCAATGACCAATGATTGATTGATATTATTTACTGTTCGCTGCTTTCTGTTTTTCAATTTTGAAAATTATTATTTATTTAAAAGTTTTATTAACAAATGAATTTTCCACTTTTTTTTAAAATTTGTTTCTTCCCATCAATTTCAATTAATAATGTAAAAAAGAAAAAATGAAAGAATGAAATAAAATGATTTTTATTAATTTGTATTTAAAAGAATATTTTTTTTTTTTGATTTCGAATTTAATTTAAGCAAACTATTAATGATAAATGATTTGCGATCGTTCTTTTTTATTTTTTTTTTGAATGGATTTAAAGATTTTTGCATTTTTCTTCCATAAACTTTTTACGCATATTTTTATTTTCCAATGCAATAATGAATAAAATTCCTGAAAAAAAGGCCACTAATTTAATTTATTCATTCATTTATCGGAAAAAAAATATATATGTAATAAAAACGAATTGAGATAATTTTAATTATATAAACTTATGCTAATTTCAAATTAGATTAAATTTAATCAATTTGAGTGAAACTGTTAGAAAATATTCGATCATGTTATTTTATATTTTTAATTTTAGACGCAAAAAAAAAACATATTTTATATTTTCAATTTTTGAATTTTTCAAGGAAAGACAAACAAGCAAATAAACAAGCAAACAAATAAATATAGAAACAAACAGATAAATGAACAAATAAACAAATAAATAAATAAACAAACAAATAAACAAACTTCAAAATAATTGGTAATTCTGGTGCCTTATTAATATGTTTATGAAATAGTCCACGTCCGCCAGCAAATGAAATAAATCGAATGTTACGATTTGCTGATAATGCTGCATTATATAATTTTTTAGCTAATGATATTGATATTACTTCATCATCAACAACGTGCATTATTAATATGGGACACGTGACCCTATAATTTATACACGTAAGTGCTAATATGAAATGTGTTAGCGTGTATCATTAACGTAAGTGTTATGTATAACTTATATGATCAAAGTAAAAATAAAAAAAATTGATACTTCATTTTCTAATATAATATACAAAATTTAAATAAAAAATAAATGACAAATTTGCATTACATATATAAGTAGTAATTTTCCGTCAATTGACGTTTCAGCGTGTAAACTTATCATTTTTCCGTCAAAATTTTCTTCTAATTATCAAAACATACTAACATTTGTTTTTCTCTGTAAACTATTGTAGATCATTACGTCTACTTAAATTGTTACAAATTACGTTTTACGTTTACGTAAGTTATTATAAATGAAAGTTTAATTATTATTAGATAAATTCAATCATTTCAAAATTTTAAGCAAAGATTTGCATAATAATTAAATTTGAAATAAAAGTCAATCTAATTCAATTATTTAGAGATTTTAACAAATTTTTCGTAACAATTAAATTTCTACAATAAATTTTTAAAACAATTGAAATCATTTCTGAGTTTTCAACAAAAATTTGATAATAAATTAAATTTGAAGCAAAAAAAAAAAAAAAATTAAAGTGAAATTTTACAATTTAATATTTATATCAGAATTGAAATGAATGCCAGCGTTTGAAACTGATTGTTTGATAAAAATATTAAACCATGGTGCCCAACGCCATGCTATTGATTCCGATGATTGTGTGATAAGATCAATGGCATTATTAAACGGTGCTTCCAAAATTAAACCTGCAGGTGGCATATGCTTCATACTTAATTCCATTGTTACTGCGATTGAAACTCTTTAAAATAATTTTAAATTTATGATAATATTTCATTAAAAGTTAAATAAGAGAGAAAATATTCATATTTATCAAACATTTTTCAATTGTAATAAATTTTTTCTTTCTCTTTCTTCTCTTCTTAATAAAATATTCACTGATTAATTCTTATCAAAATTTAATGATAACTTTTTAATAGGAATTTAATTTGATTAATGATTAATATAACTGATAAAAATAATCAAACAAAAATTATTTGATATGATAAGTAATCATCGATAAAAAAAGAAATATGAGAATTGTTCATTAATGAAATATAATTATAGAACAGTTTTTTTTTAGTGATAATTTTCCATACATTATTAATTATTTAATTATTAGTTCAATTAAATTATTCCAAAAAAAATCTTTTTTATTTCAAAAATAAAAGATTTTTTTTTGCTTCATTTTCTGAATTATAAAGATTATTTTTAATGTTAAATTTACATGATTTTTATTTGTTATGGATTGATTAAATCTAATTAAAATTATTTTAATTAATAATAAAATTGAATTACTTGTATTTGGTCATAAGTCATTTACAATCTATTATAATTTTTTTCTTTTGTTTTAAATTAAAAATTCGATTAAAATAAAAAATTTGCCTACCCACTTCCCATTGAATGTCCCCATATAAAAATATCATTTTCACCGGCTAATTTTTTTGTATAATTAAATAAAAATACGGAATCAGTAATAATTCCGGTTTCATTTGGATAGCCACTTGAATCACCAAATCCTAAATTATAAATTTCTAAAGAATTGTTATAAATTAGCTATAAAATAAAATTTTGATGATAAAATTATTTCAACACTTCAATTTAAATCATTAAAAAGAAATGTTATTTGATTTATTGTAATTTAATTTTGAAAAAAAAATTAATTAATTAATTAATAAATGAGAACATCGTTATTACTTTTATTACTAATTCCTATTCTACAAAAAGAATTTCAATAATTCGAAGTCATTAATCCATGTAATTACAATTATATCAATTATTATCACTTTATCAGTTCTTATCGAAATATTTTTATCATTGTATTTAAATATTTATATCATTGTATTTAAATATTTATGTATTTATAAAAAATGAAAAAAAAAAAAACCAAATAACCTCTATAATCTAAGCAAAGTACATGAAAATCCATTTCAGATAAAACATTGTATGTGTCCACTCGATTAGACCATTGTCTAAAATGAAATAAATTTTTGGTAAAATTTAAAATTTAGATAAATTTTTTGGCTATTTCATCTTTTATTTAATATTTGATAAAAAAGAAAAAAAGAAAAACGCAAATATTTGAATTTCGATCAAATATAATTTTAATGTTTTGTATTAAAAAAACACATTTTTGTTTTGTTTTTTTTTTCCGTTTTTTAACTTCAAACTTTCCTCTTTTAAATTATTTTATTTCAAAATAATGAAAATGTTCAACACTGATATTAAATTATATTTTTAATAATTATTTCCAAAATTTGCATTTTTTTAAATTTTTTTTTTTTACATCTCTTCTTTTTAAAGAATGGACAAAAGAATTTTATGATATAAATTGAATTTTTTTGTGAAACAAAAAAAAAACTAAAATTTATTTCTAAGATTTATTCAAAATTATTTGAAATTGAATTTCAATTATTCATTACCGACTATGAGTACTGCCATGTAAATAAACAATGATTGTATAATTTTCGAGAGCTAACAATTTTTCCATTTCTTCATTTGATAAACTTTTCTGCTTTACCTTTTCAGACAATGTTTTCGGTAATATATGCCTATAATAAATAATAAAATTCAATAATTAATACTTTTTTTTTTTAAAAAAAAAAAGTTTTTTATTTCTTATAAAAGAATAATTTCGCATATAAAAATAAATAAAACTTTTAAGCTTTCATTGTTAAAAACTACTAAAAAAAAGTGATTTTTTTTTTTGTAAAAAAAGTTTAAATTTTTTTGCTAAAGTAATTAAAATTATATAAATCATTTCCATATCTTTTTTGTTTAACGATTTCTTTTAAATGATAGAATACAATGAATAATTTTTAATTAAATATTTCAATTAAATGTTAGAGTATAAATGATAATAATTCAATTAGATAATAAAATATAAATGAAAATTTTTTGATTAAATATTTTAATTAAATGATAGAATATAATGATATTTTTTTGATTAAATATTTCAATTTCTTTTCAATATCATTCTTCTTTTTTTGTCGTTTGGTTCATTTTATGAAAAAAGTTTAAATTTAATTTTTTTTTTCGGAGTTCTTTATTCTATTATTATTTTATTAAAGTTTAAAATGCTGTCGAAACAATTTAAATCACAAATTCATATCACAACAAATTTCTCACCAACATCCTAAACGTCCTGCTTCACCATTTAAATAAAAATTTCGTCCATATGAAATAACACCTTTCAATAAATTAAAATCATCGTAATCCTGTACTGAAATATATTTTTATGGTTAAAATTTAAAAAAAGCTAATGTGAATTATAAAGTGACAAAAAAAAAACTTTAATTTATACAAAAATTGTTTAATTTAGTAAGAATCATAGATTTAAATTAATTTAGCATAAGTTTTTCAAAAAATGGTGCAACATTAAATTATCAAATTAGTTTCACATTTTATATTATATTATCTCCTTTTTCTTTTTTTTTTTAAATTATGATTTGCTTCTTAAGATATTTAATAGATTAACAATTAAAATAGCTAGCTTTTTTTTTCTTTTTTAAAAAAAAATATTTAAAAAATATATATTTCAACGACACTTTTATCTTACAGTTTATTTGTTTCATACTATTTAATTACGATTATTTGAAATGAGCAAACAATTATTAAAAGTATAATTTAAAAAATGAAAAAGAAAAGAATTTTCAATTAAAATTAATAATTAAAAATTATTTTAAATTAAAAAGAAAAAGAAAAACATAAAAAAAAAAAAAACATACTATAATGACCAAAGAAAAGTAAATGAGAAAATGATGGATAAATGTAAAGTAAAAATGGAAAAATGAATGAAAGAATTGGAATTGTTGCAACTAATAACCACGCTCGCATATTATTAAAAAAAACAAAAAAAAAATAATTGTATTAATTTCAAATTTATTTCATTTAATAATTTATAATAAAATTGAATAATTTTTTTTATGCAAATTATATGAGAAAGATTAAATGTTGAATATTTTTGATTACGTTTAATTATTTGCTAAAAATTTTTAAATAATAAATGATAGTTATGCAAAAATTTTAAATTATTAATTTTAGCTTTCATATTTAAAACTTTTTTTTTTGTCTTTTTTTTGAATTCAGATAAAATTTTGCATTTTCAGAAGATGATATATTATGTTTAATAAATATAAACTAAGATAAATGAATAGTTTTAGTTAATTAACAAATATAAAACTGTTAACTGAATTGTTATGAAATATAATTTTTAACTATTTTTTTTTTTTTTTTTGATTTATTTTGTATCATTTAAAAATTGACATAACAAAAAATCTTTTTCACACTTTTTCAGCATTATTTAAATTTTAATTTTTTTTCATTCATCTATTCAATTTTTTCAACATCAATTAATTTTTTGAAATTATTGAAGAAATCAAGATGAAAATTTCATTTGATAATAAATATAAAATGGAACACTCAGATATTGAAAAACGAAAATATTTGCTAGTGTTTTTGAGAAAATTAATGTACGATTATTTTTGTAATTTTTTTGCAATCATTGATGGATGTAAAGAAAAAAAACTGTGAAATCAAAAAAGTTTAAGTAGTGATAAGTATGCGATAATAAAACTTTTAATTATTAAAATTTATCAAAAAAAAAAACCCACAAATTCAAGTTCATAGTATCATTCATTAAAGAATGAAACAAAAGCTAAAGAAATGTTATTTGAAATAAAAATAAGGCATGAAATTTAATAAAATGATATTACATGAGATCATTAATGTACAAAAAAAAATTTCATTTACATTAACACATTTAAATAAAAAAAATAAATCGGAAGCTATTATTTCTAAAAAATAAAACAAATTTTTTTATTATTTCTAAAATCAAATAATGATAATAATAACGACTAATTTTTCCTATGAAAAAATGAATCACTTTTAAGCCTCAATTTATCTGTAATTTCAAATTTAAAATAATAAAGAAGTAATCTCTTTTTTTTTTCCTTTCTTTAAAGAAATCGAAAAAAGCAAGTAGTAAACAGTTATAAGTACTTCCAGCAAAAACCAAAATAAAACCAAAAATTTCAGTGAAAAACCAAATAAAATCAGAAAATCTTAGAAATAAATTCATTAATTTGTCTTGAAGAAAATTTAAAATCAAAAAAAACAAAAGAAAACAAATTAATAAAGTGCATATTGTAAACACATCAAAGTGATAAACTACTAGTTTCCACTAGAATAACTAGCTCATTTAATGAAAAAAAAAAATACAAATATACATGAAATTTTCTGCTCAGTCAATAATTTTTAATTCAGATTGTCCACTTATTATTAAATTTCCATTCTGGTCGGAATTACGGATCCTGAATTCAGCTCATCCTCAAATATTAATGGAAAAATGAAGCCAAGCTTTGCAATATTTCGCTGTATGACAAGACGACATGATTCTCGAAATTTTGTTGGATTACCCTGTAAAGGTTACTTTTCTATTAATTCTAGATTATAGATAATTATGATAACATTGATAAAAGCTTAATGAATCATGGTAGTGATATGATAATATAGAATATAAAGCAAAGAATATTTCAAAAAAAAGTCTTTTCTCTCTCTCTTTTTTTAATTCAATTCATAATTTATTCAACTAAGTAAATTGATTAGCATTTATTCAAACTTTCGAAATAATAACATATCTCAGGAAATACATTTTAATGCGAGTGGAAATAAAATACTATCTATCAATTTAGGAAGAAAAAAAAAGGAAAATCTTTTGGATGCATTATACAAATTTTATTAAAATCTACGATTATGTATATATACTTTTCACAATAATCAAAAAGATTAGTTAAATTAAGCAAAATTTGAATTTAAACAAACTTTAAATTATTTCTAACAAAATTTTTCACAATATTCACTTACTTGAATAGGATCAATAGAAGAATTCAATGATCGATCAAACGCAGCATTAATCATATTTGCTGCTGATACTTCCGCATCCAAAACACTCTGAAAATTTTATGTTTGTTTCACTTTATCTGTTAGTATATTTTCGTTATCTAATTGCTTATCAATTTGCATTTTATTCTCATTTTATACAGCAGAAAGATCACTTCCAAAAATTTCGTCCACATTTTATTAGATTAGCAAATGACTAAGATAAATTAAACATATGTAAAAATTCATACATTAATGATTAATTTTAGGTTTTTTTTTTTTAATTTTTAATAGATTTATACCAATCTATACTTATTTTATTGTGGTCAATATTATATATTGTCTTCTTTTTTCTCATTAATTACAAGCAAAGCTAATAGTTCAAAATATGAGTCATCACAAAAATCATCATTTATGTATTGATCGTTAAGAATTTAAAAGAAAAAATTGAATATATTATAATGTTCAGCAGTTCAATAGGAATTAAACTTGCAATTTTTAATAGAACTATCATTGATCTTATCGATGGCTTTATAAGATATATTAAGGTAAAGATAACAGATACCAGTTATAAATATGTCATATAAAAATAATGATTACTTATCAAAATCAATGAACGCTAAAAAAAAAACGCAATAACTCAGAATTTTTCGCAAAAATTGATATCAACGAAAAAAAAAGTGCTAAGTTATGATAATGAATAATGAGGAAATATAAATAATTACAGAAAGTTTTTGATGCATATTTAGGATTCTAAAATAGCAAAACAAAAAAAAAACAAAAAACTATACCTGAAAATATTGCCAAACATCAAGCAAAATAACAAATCCTTCGCGACAGCTAACTCTTGTAATTAAATCAAAATAATAAACCATTTGTTGAGGTAGCATTTGTCCCTGAAATTGCATTTAAAAAATTAGACTGTCAAAAATACATGCAGGAAATAATCAAGTTTTGAAATCCACTGCTGTGTCTTCTTTTACTATGCGACAATCTTTACTTCGAATTAGAAACAACACACATTGGACAAGTGTAAGAGCATAAGAATTTCCTTTTTATCGATTATTTTAAAACTACCAAAAAGCTTTTATTATCTACATGATTTTTTTTCTTTTTAATTTTGTGATTTATAATATCGTCTAATGACATTTAACGCTAGAGATAAATACTTCGCACATGAAGATAAATACTTCGCATGCATCAAAATTAAATCATCAAAAAAAAAGAAAAAAGAAAAAGTGTGCCTCAGGACAAAAAACTTTTTCTTTCGATCAATTATATTAAAGTTACTAAAAAATGAACAAACCTTACGAGCCAATAAAAACCATTTATCAAGCATACTGGTAAGTTGTTTACGCGGTAGAGATTTTTGATCTGAACTATTTTCAAATTGTATCATAATAACAGCAAGATATGCCTGAAATATTATAAAAGAATATCAAAAATGTTCAGTCGTCTTTTTTGAAAATTTTCGATAGCAATAGTTAGTTAGTTAGTTAGATTATTTAGTAAAACATGTTTACTGGAGAAATATTTTTAATCTTAAAAAATGTCAGAATTAGACAGTTTATAGTATAAAGGTAATCGTATTATGTCTAAAGTGAAATTAACAATAAAAATTTTTGATTTAATTAGCTAAATATATCCCTAACAGAGATCATTTATTTGTCAGATATATTATACATTCCAAATACAAAAGTAAAATGTAAATAAATATGAAATCCTTATGAACATATAGCAAATTTCAATGTGATTTAAAAAATCATTCCAAATGGCTTCGAAGAAATTCGGAAAACTTTAAACTTACTTTCAGAAGTGGACAACAGTACCACAAACAAGGATGCACTTCGGTCAATGCCAACATAATATCCCAAATAAGTGGAATTTCTGTGAGTCTTTTTGAAACTGCGATATATCTACAAACATAAAATTTAAACAGAAAGGAAATTTTTTTAAATTATCCAAGTTCGACTGAATGCCTAATATGAATAGAAATTGATATTTCATATGTGCATGGTTGTTCAATTAATAGTAACAATAAAAAGAAAAAATATACCTAATGAATATTTATTTATAATTATCACAACAAAAAAGGTCACCTATTTACTACGATGAACCATTTCGAAACAGCATTTTCAATGGAAAAACACCAATAAAAGTTCAATTTAACATGTATGAAGAAATTTCAAAATTCTAACGTGAAAAAATTAATAACCTTGGAATAACTTCACGTGCATGTTCCCATTCTTCCCAAACAAAACTAGCAGCAAGACCGTCTTTGCATACTCGATCTGTCAATTTTATCGCCTAAAAAGCTAGCAATAAACAAAAAAAAAAAATTTTTTTTTTTAAAAAATGCATATATTTAAAAATGCAAAAAAAAAATTTTTTTTAAAAATGCATATTTAAAGATGCATCTGTCAAATATCCTATATTAATGACAATTTGATAGATCCGACCATATACAATACAGAATAATAATTCTTTAATATTTATTAATCATTCATATAAATTTTGTTATTCAACAACTTTTTTTTATGTTTTACTGGTCTATCACTGATCCATCTTTTGTGATGAATAATAGAAAACGAAAGCTTCGTTTCTGATTTCCAAAATTTACATTGCGATTGGAAGAAAATAAAAAAAAAAACATAAAAAAAAGATAAACAAGTACCAATTGTTTGTAAACTTGCTGATATGGTATCAAATTTCGATCTGTCCCCATCGTACTGCAAAATCGCTGAAGACATTCGAAGAAAACTAAACGACGCATCGTATTTCCATCCTAAAATTCTTTCATTCATTGATTTATTCTTTTTATCAAAAAAAAAAAACAGGCAACAACCCTTGAAAATTTACAAATTTTCATCATTCAATAAATATAATAGGAATAGAATTTCAGATAGAAAGAAATATGGAAAAATTGTAAAATACTGATCAGTTAATGAATCAAATAT